TATATATATATATATATTGGTTTAAACAGGGTTTTGCTCAAAATTTCTTGAGGAGAATGTCCACCAGGAGCACTATTCCTGGCTGTGGTGTGACCTTTGAAGTCGTCTCCAACATCCCAGGGGTAAGCATACAAAATCTGCTATTAAAACTGTTTTTTTTTTGTGTGTGTGTGTGTGTGTGTGTCTATATAATGCATGATATGAATAATAAATAATGCATGAGCTGAATCATATGGATTTTTCAGTGACCATTGAGAATATATAATACATTCACTTCAAATTCAGAAGTGTTGTTATTGGTAACCAAAACTATTCAAATTTGTTTTTATTGAAATAAAGCTGAAATAATATTTTTTTTAATCTAAATATTAGATGAAAAACGAAATGTTGCCTTGGCAACTAACTGAAATAAAATAAGCTTTAGCTAAAGTACTACATTACTAAAACTGAAATAAATTAAAGCTAAACATAGAAATAAAACAATTCTGTGTTTTTCTGTCAATATGGGGTGCTGTGTGTACATTGAGGGAAAAAAAATTACTTAAATGATTTTAGCAAATGGCTGCAATATAACAAAGAGTGAAAAATTTAAGGGGGTCTGAATACTTTCCGTACCCACTGTAAATATAATATATAAAACAAAACTAATAATAGTATTGTAAATAATACTAAAATAACACCAATTCAGAATAGAATTGTTAGCAGATTTCAAAACTGAAGCAAGTTGAAACGGTCATTTTTTCAATATTTGCTGATAATCCTAAAATATTAAATAATATAAATATTATTCGCTCTTATGTATCACTGCAGAACTCTCAGCAACACTTATAGGCAGTTTTAGTTGGCTATTACCCATAAGAAAGCTGCTCTGATAAAGTTGCACACCTGGTTTCTTGAGGTGCTTTGTTTACGAGCACCTGTCTCTCTTGGCTGTGTATGTCAGCAGGACAGCCAGAGCTCAGAGGACAGGGAGATGCTGGCCCGTGTAGCCGCCAGCACTGAGAACCCTAAATCCTCAGACAGTGAAGCTGCCATAGAGAAGTACCTGCGGAGCGTCCTGGCTGTGGAGAACATCCTCACACTGGACCGTCTGAGACAGGTCACTCAGCTAACTCCACTAATATTTTTTTATATCTGATAAGATCGCATTTTATCATCTCTTTCTAATGTTGTTTATTTGGGCATATAGCATAGTGAGCAGATGCTGACTTCCCAGTACTACCAAGTTTTCTCTTCCGAGTTCAGCTCAGCATGTTGTTTTCATCATGTAAATCAGTTTTTTATCATGTGCTGCAGGAGGTGGCAGTGAAGGAGCATTTGGCAGGTAAAGGCAAGGGCAGCAGACGCAGTCTCAGCTCTCCAAGTGTGCACCGGGTAAGCGCATCTGCAGCCTTAAAGTCATCTTAAAAAACAGAAATGTTAAGGAAACTCTGCATCATCGGAGCCTGGCACATTATGTATTCATACATAACCTTTTTCTCCTCTAGTTATCTGGAAGCAGACAGGATCTGTCACTAAACTCAGTGCTGGATGACAACAAGGTAAGAATCTAGGGAGAAAATAAGACATGGTCCACCACAGGAAATGAGTCCTTTTATGTAACCTCTAATATCCAATTTGCTAATGTAAGAATCGATGGGAGAGTCAGCAGGATATCTTTGCAACATCCTCTCAGTTCAGCAAAACACTGCCACGACCATCCAGACCTCCTACACCACCTACACAGAATCAGGACCCCGAGCAAGGTACGACATAACGGTCACTCTTAAAGTGACCGCTACTGAATGTTGACTGTTTTGTCTGCAATAGAATAATCTTCCTTTTCCGTTTCCAGCATGACCCATTCTTTATGTGACTGTCCTTCCAACCATCAACTCTGTGCTCTCTACTGTAAATTCTTTCTGCCTGAACTCTCATTTCTAACCTGGTTTATGAATTTAACAGGCACTTATCTAAATTACAGAGAAAATCCTTGTATCTTGATCAAAAGCACAATATTGCCAGTTCGGAGTTTGAACCTGCAACCTTTCAGTTACCACTGAACATCTCTCCCAGTCTTGTTCAACTTCAGCTTCTTTCACCTTGTCACTTTGTGATCTGTCAAAAAATGTCAGTGTGACATTTTTAATGTGACTGTGCCTTCATACACTCCTTTTATATAATTTCTACATCTGTCTCTGTTTCACCATCATTGTCGACTTTCTCCACACCTCTACCTGGCTGTTTGCCTCCTTCCCAACCCGCCCACAGGTTTTTCAGGGCTTGCTGCTGCTTATATCTCCCCAGTCAAGGCCCTGGTTCCTCAGATGCCCAAGCTGCTCAAGTCCCTGTTCCCTGTGCGGGATGACAAGAAAGATTTGAGACCCTCTCCACACTCCCAACAGGTCTGGTCACGTTTTCGACTTTTTAATTAGTAAACTGTGCCTTAAACCTTGCTTTGTCGGTCTCATGAAAACTGTCAAGAAATGTCCAGGTCATATTTAACCCTTAAACCTAAAAGGAAAAGTTATTTTAAAATTCTAGTAAATAAGAAAAATATATGCATAAGTAAAACCATAATGAACAAATAAAGCATTTTTGAGGCAAAGTGACTTCCATGGGGTTTCATGCATAAATGTAAAAAACTGATAGACAGGAGGATCAGTCATAAAAATAGCCGTTTTAGTGCCTGCAAAGCCTGTCAGAAATATGCTGCATTTAGATGAGTAAATCATATGTGGTAATCAAAAAGGGATGCAAATCCCCCTGACCGATTTAATTTGAGTCAATTTTAGATTCTAGCATAATGTCGTTCTGTCTTCATGCCTCCTCATTTCCATATAGACAGAAATTCCATATGCTACTATTACATTGCCCATATATCTGTGATACATTTCCTCATACAAGATGGATAAAGTAAGTCTTTAAATTAAGCCTTGTTGCCTGGTAGTGGATTTTTTTGTGAGAAAACAGGCTTTTTTGGTTTTCCATGATTAAAACAGTGTCCTCATTTTGTCAAAGTAAATCATGTCAGGGAAACCTGATTATAAGTTAGGCAGGAGTCCATAGATAAACTCCAGTGTTTAATTTCTCCAAGATTAATTATCAAGCCATACCCTTTCATCATATCTCCCAGCATGCTTTTGATGGAGGCATACAGGGAAAAAAAATATGACGGTGATATTTCATCGTGTTCATCACTCCTCCCCTGCACGCAGACTTTTGATCTGTCAGTATTTTAGATCAAACATAATCCAAAGACTCCCAACATAAAAAATGAACCAGTGACACTTAAATCAAGCTTTGTGCCGCCTCTCTGAAAACCATTACCGAAATCGTAAATACAAATTTAATACGTTCCATTCATCTCTCCAGCATATGCCACGAATAATGATGCAAACAGCTAACAACCCTGATGAAGGAAGAGTAAGAATAGAACCGGTAAGTAGATCTCCACTCTGATCTCATGCTCCATCTTTGGCAAAATTAAATAAATATGAATGATGAATTGGGTTACAGACTTGTATTTTGCAAAAGTATAGCCTAGGAAGATATTTTAAGAGCCCAGTCTTTCTCTCCTGCATGTGATGTAAATTGCATGCTATTAAATTTGTGGTTTTCCTAGCATGTGCTGTCTGTGTGAGAGTCAGATGATAGGTTGAGGTGTAGTTAAATGTTCCTTGTGGTTTTGGACGTGCTTCCCCGTAGGTTGCAGTAATGGGGAAGAGTCCTGCTTCAGACAGACACTCAGATGGGTGTCCTGATGCCCTGTCCTCTATGCATGATCTGCCCCTGAGCCCCATCAGCGAGGCCTCCAGTGGCTATTTTTCTACTAGTGTCTCCACTGCCACCCTTTCCGACGTCTCCATAGCTTGCGGGGACCCCACCCCTACTCCCAGTTCCCAAGCGGGTCCCGTAGCATCCAGGCAGAACAACGAAGACTGTCTACCGACCCCTGTTAATGCCTCTGTTGCTCCTGTAGAAGCTGGGCTAAGATCTGACAGGCCTAGAAAAGAGGAAGATACCCAGGCGGCCCACAGGAATGGTATCACCACTTCTCAGCAGGAAGCACAGCTAAATGCAACCCCTCCCCTGGTGTTGAGTACCTCCACAGACAGCCCTTTCTCCCTCCAGAAGGTCAAAGCCAATGAACTCAGGTCTTTCAGTAACATTCTCGGAGATGGAAAAGCAACCACAATGCAAGTGCAACAAACGAACAGCCTGGAAAAGCTAGAGATAACCTTTGAGGATGTGGAACCCGGGGAACTTGCTTGGCTCAAGGTGGGAGGGCGAGTCACTGTTGGATCCAGCAAGTCCGGCACAGTCCGCTACATCGGCCCAACACACTTCTCAGAAGGCATCTGGGTCGGGGTCGAGTTGGACACTCCCTCAGGTTAGTCAAGTCTTCCGTTATCCGACAAGTTTTCTGAGATGTTGACACCTTCTTGGTGAGCCGATTTACAGACCTTGTTCTTTTTGTATCCTTTGTCCACAAGGTAAGAATGATGGTTCTGTCGAGGGCCACCAGTACTTCCGATGCAACCCTTGTTACGGGGTGCTAGTCCGTCCAGATCGACTGACTCGACGGGAAGCTTCCAAAAGGCACACTGAAAATCGCCGCAGTGGGGAGTTCAGTCAGCAACTGAGGGGAGGAGCCGGCACTGCCATTCAGAAAGGAGAGAATCGCAAATCCTGGACCAGCTAATTGACAATGAGCTGAGCAGGACAGAACCTCCGCTTCAAACATCTGAATCTAACTGAGGAGGTCAACTCCGTCCATCACTGTGCTTGGGCTAATGGAGCATTCAGATACCCAACTTTGCAAGGAGGCGGTACAACATTCCCTTACGAGCCTCTCTGTCAGTTCCGGTGCTATGCTAATGTGTAGCATGTGGGAGTGCTATCAATTTTTAACATGCTACTTCAGTTGTGTTCCTTGAGATTTGTTTGCTTGTTTGGTAACTCAAGCAAGTCTCCTTGAGTCGACCGTAATGAATCTTCCGGGTCTTTGAGATAAATCCATCATTTTTGTTTGTGCCCTGGTTTTATCAAGAGTCCATTTTTGGACTTGATACTACAAATGATGCTTGATTTATCTTCTCTGCACAGTCAGTAAACGATTTTTAGTTTCCTGAATATGCCTTTTAAGTCGACCCATTTCTTGTTTGTCATCCCTCATTGCACCTTCGTAGCACTAGTTAGAATGTGGTAAATGGTATGGTAGACATGTAAGAGATTATCTCAGGGATCCGATCAGAGTCATTGGATATACCCAGTTGGGTTTTCAGCTGTAAGCCACTATCAAATCTGGCTTTTCATGGAGTGAAGGGGGTTGCATGTATTTTGCGATAAGTGCCGTCTTGAGCAGGTCAATGCAGGTTTCTGATGCAAGTTTCTTCATGTCGTGAAGTACTATTATTACTTTACCAGTGATTGGACGACTAAATCCACAAGATGGGATGTTTTATTTGGTTTGGTGTCATTGGAAGACTTGCTTATCAGTATTTTAGGAGGAAACGGCCTGCTTGGTGTGTATCCTTAATTGCATGTGGGGAATTTTTAGACTTGACTGAAATGGCACATTCAGGCTTAATTGACTGGCTTAATTAGGTTCTCTCTTAATGGTTTTGATGATTGGACTGGAAAAAAAGTATTTTAGAGTGGCTTATTTACAATCTGATGGGTTGGGGCACATTTTAGTAAGCAGCCTTTTATTTGGACTTGGGTTATTGAAACTACTTTAACCTCAAATAACTTTGTGCTGCAATTTAGTGACAATTTAAAGTAGCTCAGTTTGGTTGGTTTCTGAAGGACTGTCTTCCACAAGAAGGTCACCGTAAAAGCACATTCCAGTTTTGTGTATCGGACCAATTACTGGCAATACCTTCATCTTATTTATTCAAATGAAAAGATCTATAAGTGATTTCATTAAATGTTTTTTAACATATTGTATGGGCAAAGTGGTCACAATTATATAGTTTTTTTTAATAAGGAGCATGATTCCATGCAGATATGATACTTGTTCACATCATGATGGAGAGATTTAATTCCTTTTATATTCTATTCATGGAAATCATCATGTGATTTCTGAAGTCTAATACAATATCAAATTATTAAAATATATTTTAATGGTTGTAGTTATGTAAATTGAATTTATAAAGTGTAAAAATCCTATGAATGGAAAATTAATTTGCACATTTGATTTATAGTAGATAGCTTATGTGCCCAAAGGGTGCTTAGTTTTGTTGTAAATTAAGTAAACTAACCGATGATCCACTGTAAATCTGCTTTCACTGGATTTGGTGCTCAAAAGTCAAAAACATTTCGAAATTTCCGTCTGAGAAAAGATGCATTTCTCCACAGTTTTATGTTGCCTTTAATTTTTCCTGTTTTTGTTCAGTCAAAAAATTGGATTAACATCTTCCCATTTTTAAAAAAAAAATGTATCTTGATCTGTGCCTCGTTCATAATGAGAGAAAAAAACCGCACACATGGAGCAAGTCTTTTTTGCTGTGATTAGCAACAAAGGCTTCAGGTGATAGGATTTTAAGACCTGCTGGGTCACATTAGAACAGATTGATTGCCTTTAGAATGACAAGTCTCAGCTAAGTTTATTTTAATACATTTGTTGTAGCAATAACGTTAAAATTGCTGGTAGGGATTTGATAGTTAATTTGTTTGAACCTAATGTGTTACTAGAAAGGGGAAATGAACTTACAGAAGACTTTTTCAGTAAGCTGATCTCCATGGCCCAACATTTCAATCACAGATGCTTTTAACTAGATGTGTACTAGATGTTTATTTTGTTTTCAAGTGCAATTGACCATTTTTCTTCATCATTAATACGGTTGAATGCACCCTACATTCATTCTGTTCAACATCAGCAGGTCTTCAGTAGCAGAAATGACACCTTGATCTGTCATAAATGACATAGAGCCATATCTGAGCAACCACACAGTGGCCTTTTGAAGTCAAATACTAAATACAGGTGTGGAGACTCGTGCTTTCCTCCAGTTTGAAATCCTTCCCGTTAAGGGCATCAGGAGAAAGAGGTTTTGAAGGAAGCTTTGGGCCCTGCTGTTTACACAGATGTCAGACAAAGCTCTTGGCAGGAAGTTGCTGCTCTACTTCTGCAGTTTTTTTGGTTTTGTTTCTCCCTGACTTTTTTTTGAGCAGTTTCACTACTAGTCTGTGCCTCGTCCTGATGATTTTATGAAAGTTGTCCTGAATATGGAGCGTTTGAACCCAGAGTATACGTGTGTGTGTGTGTTTTGTATATACTGTAGTTGCATCTTGAGAGTTCAATCTGAGCACAAGGCTGGGTTTGAGTAATTTATCTGCAATTCTATGCTGATATCCAAAGAATAATCATGTATAATAATTCATTTATAATTTCTTTTATATTGACTGTACAATAATCTGGCTGTAAAGAAAAAAAATAAAAAGTGACCTGATTTACATATTTGTCTAATTACTATTTTTAATTACTATGTTCAAACTTTGACATTTTTTTTTTCTTTCAAACAAATTGACAGCCAATAATTTTTTTTCTTCTTCGCTGTATGGAAAAGAGCAGCTGCACACATTTATATCAAATGATTGTCTTCAAATAACAATCCTGTTACAATTTCAGAATTAGGACTATAATTCAGAATTTGCATAATTGTATAATTCCGGAGTGCTGTAAAAAAAAGTTGTACAATCAGCCAGTGTCTTTCAGCTTATTAAGTCTTTATTCTCTAGAAGGTACAGTTCTAAAATAAAAACACTTTTTTTTTTTTTTTGAAAATGAACAAAAAAAAGTGTCAAAACAAAACTTAAAAAAGTAACAAAGCATATGCGTTTTATACTACATATTAATTACAGAACAGTCTACTGTCCAAAAAAGGCACTAAATTCTGTAATAAGAGATACATGATTAGACTATTTCAAGTTAATACAACAGTGATATATTTTTCATTTTTTATACTCATAGAATATATTTATATATATATTTAATATATTCACATATTGAACGTGGACATTAAAAACACAGTCAAAGTGTTCCCTCATTCTTTCACGACAGATTTCTGTTCCAAACACATTCCGACACTAGCTTAATAAAGACTCCTGGGTAACTGACTGGGCACTAGTCCATCATCACATTGTGCCTCAATACTGTTTCTAAGAAAGCGTTTACTGAGGGACTCTGTTAATAAGATTGGACTGTCTGTATCTTATGATATAATGTACAAGACTACATGATTGCTGTGCAAGCTCATGAAACTTCACGCTCGGATTTGGGTTGGCAAATGAAAGTAAAATTGGCAGTTTGCAATGTTCATTTTCTCGCTATTATAGCATCTAATATTTTGACGGCGGTTTAATGAAAAGCTTTGAAATATAAAACCAAGACCGGGGCTAGTTGTCACATAGGGAAATTATCACAAGGATTTATATTTCAGTAATTACAAAAATAAAATTTAGATAAAAATTGACTTTAAACGGATGTAAAACTTATTATTCAGATTTGGAATTCAGTTGGAGCAAGCTGTAATTTTATACAAATAAAATTTCTGTTAGCCAAATCATTTATTTGATAGTTTTGCTTGATCTTAAAATTTTTACTTATATATGTATAAAAAGAAAAAAAAATAGGTTCAAAATTCAGGTTGGGGCAAGTTGTCACGTTTTATATAATTTCATTACAATTTCTATTAGCCAAAGCTAATAGAATTTGCTTGATATTTTTATTGATTACATTTTTAAAATATTGTCATATTGAAGCCAACAATCAATAATATATTTTAATTATATGTATTTGTAATAATACATATTTAATGTGATGTGTTTAATATTATTTTTAAGAGAGTATATATTTCTTAAATGGTGTTTTTCTCAAATCAGTTAATACACCGCATGCTCCCAATGTAACAAGCTCTGTTAGAGTCTGTAGTTTGACTCGTATACAGTAACAATTAACTTCCAGCAATAATCACACCCTGTCAAATATTCACTGAAGTAAATGTGTCAACTAGCCCCGGTCACCCTTATAAAGGTACAGATTGTATTTGATTTAATTGAGAACTCAAATAACATGTTTTAACTGACCGTTCAACCAAATTACAAGACATAACTAAAGAAACAATGTCTCATTTGATGGATTTATCTGCTTAGCAGAATTTACTAAAGCGAGAAATTTCATTTCCAATTAATAATCTCTCCTAACATACAATATTCTTTCGATGCATATTTTAGCAAATAGACTTGGTACATTTATGTTAAGCTTATGTAGATTTACGGAATAAATGTATCTAGGAATATTACCATAACGTTAACTTAAACAGCATCATCAACAGTTAATTTTCACATGAATGACACGTCGACAGATTTGACACATTCTGTCATTTAAGTGCTTAAAAATACTTGCATTAAGGCTGAAGCCCATGTTCAAAATTCACGTTCGGCTGCGACTGACTTTTTAAATACGAGCTTGTTTGTTAGCTAGTGGCGAACTCATCGACTGATATCTTACGCTCGGTGGGAACAAAGATGTGTTGACGAGTTGAAATGGTATTTCAGACATTCTGAGAGAACATTTGAAGCAGCTGATACTTTTCACAGGTTTGTCATCCGATAGCTATTTTGATACGTCTAAAAAAAAGCTTATTTGTGACTGCAATGATGTGCATTACACACAGAAAGCAGCTTCCTAAAAGACAAAGAGGAAAGACTGTAAAAGGTGGAAGAGGGCATGTGGTTAGTATCTCCTTTCCTTTTTTAAAACAAGCACCATATTTCAATTCTGAAGCACAAATAAAAATAACCTGAACTAGTCCATCGCTCTTATCTTCTTTCTTTGAAACAATACCTTATGAAACAAAAAAATATCTATATGTATGTTGGGGTAAAGAACCCAAAGCACCATAACCCTCGCCCTTAAAGTGACATTTTGTGAATATTCAACAAAAAACAAACAATCAATTACATGGATAATTATTAGAGTGGTTAAATCCACTTTAATTGCAGAAATAACGGTTATTAATCCCCATCAAAGGGACTTTAGATGTCATTACTTTCCAGAGAAACCCATATTTTGGACACGTGGGCAAACACCAACAGGTTTTTTGTATTGGAACGTCGTCACCCTGATTGTCAAGTGTTTTCCCGCTCGCTGAGACAGGAATTCCCAATGCTACAACATTTTCCAGCCGCGTGCTGCTGAAACGTTCGCACGGTTATTGGCTGAGTAGAACACTTTGAGGTTATATACGTTCAAATAAACGGCTGTTGTCTGATTGCTTTTAGAGAGGCCTGCAGAAGAGCCCGACTGAATTTCTAGTCTGCTAATGCTGAAATATAATGGCACAATCTTCACGAGTAGGCTTCAGTTTCCAGACTGCCTTCAACGCCTCCCTGCAGAGATGCACAGTTGTGTAGTGGCAGGAACATAAATAAGCTGCCGCAAGTAATTAAAAGTGCAATACATAATTGCTGAAGCCAGCAGGCCGGTCGGTTATGGTACTGCAAAAACAGTCCTATGCAACTTTTACGCTCACAACCAGGGTCCAGAATTAACATTTTGCCAATTTCATGACTACAAGTATTTCATACTGCTCATAAAACTGTACTTTGTTTTACTTAAACTATTCTTGTCACAGTGGCAACTAAATTTAGTGACAAAACGTGCAAATCGCAACAGATACCACTGATTAGCGACTGCCAGGAATGACGCTCTTAAAGGAACAGTTCACCCAAAAATGAAAAAATATAAACATATCTTAATGATGGATATGTTTCTTACAAACATGCAGCTTTTCGCTTCATAAGACATTAACTGATGGACTGGAGTCATGTGGGTTACTTGTGGATTATTGTGATGTTTTTATCAGCTGTTTGGACTCTCATTTTGACGGCACCCATTCACTGCAGAAGATCCACTGGTGAGCAAGTGATGTAATGCTATATTTCTCCAAATCTGTTCCGATGAAGAAACAAACTCATCTACGTCTTTGATTGTGTCAAAGTGTTGTGTTCGGAGTGTTTTAATTTTTGGGTGAACTACTCCTTTAAGATAGTAATATGTTTAGTTATGAGTTACAACTAATCATCCAACAACCAATTATTACATTTACATTATTATTTTTGCTTTTAGTTGAGATATTTAAGTGGTGATGCTTTAATTAGCATGCTACACATTAGCTATAAGACATTTTGCACGGTGAAACTCATCCAGAGGAGTTGCGTCTTTAAATTCACCTTGTTTAAACACTACACCGCAGCTATACACATTTGGCTGTTGCACTGTGTATCACAATGTTTTTTTTTTTTTTAGTGTCTCTGCCATTTTTAAGACAACATATGAAGTTAAAATATCTTTTAAAATAATGTTATTTAAACATAAAAATTTAATGTTTTTAAAACCATGTCCAAACCAAGAGCTGTTTTTGAATGCAAAAACAGATTTTACATAGACTCCCAAAAATAAACATGTTCAATACTTCAAGACTAATTACTAAAACAGTAAATTCAGAATCAACTAAACTATTTTGCACTTCTCAGCAAGACCAACTAGCCAGTATTTTTATGTTTTTTTGATTTTCTAGTCTGCTAAAGCGACTTGGCAAAGCTGCAGGTACACATTTGGTGGTAGGCGAGTGTTAACTTTAGACCCTGGTTGACAACTGTACAAGTTTAAACGCAATTTCAGCAACGCTGGACTGCACACACATAAAGAAATAAGTTAAGAAGTGAGAGAGAATATGCTTCCCAACACACTTTCCCTGGAGAGACTGAGGCAGTGAGCATTTAGTATGATACTGACCTCTTATATCCTGCAAAGAAGACTTCCTGAAAGAAGGAAAAACAGAGGTGAAATTCACTATCCAAGTGTGAGATGGCAGGGTGATATGTCGCATGAAGTTTTTAGTGAACCGGTTTCATCAACAGTTTAATCGCAGTGCCTCCCCAACCTGCTGCGTGTAGGAGAACGGTTTTAATGAAGACTATTGAGGCATCATACGTAGGAGAGAAGTGGAAGGGGGGAATGTTGGGTTAACAGTCTTTATAACCTCCGCATTCACTTTGGTCATCCACGACCTGGCCATATTCCTCATAATCATAGTTTTCACACAAACTGTTTGGCCTTAATTGCGTAACCCCACATTCGGCTTCCCTCCGTGCTCCAGGTCAAAGGGGATTTTGACGTGGATTCTCACTCGTCGTCCAGCACCTCTGTTTTGATGTCACTGCTGGCTCCGCCCTGCCTCGCCAGTGCCAGGATGCTGTGATTGACAGCGGCCATCTCCACTGCCAAAGCTATGGGGTCCTGGTGTTCGTTTGGGCCGGGGTTGTCATCCTATAAGAAAGCAGAGAACCAGAGATTGTTCTGAAGCCCTCTGCTTTTGCCTCGCAAACCTGTTTGAATAACTTTGTGTCATTAAAAGAGAAAGGAGCATGAAATAGTTCA